TACAGGATAATTATTTTTATGCTATTTACTYAGTGTGTATATTCTGATGGGAGGTTGAAGTAGAACTCTTCATGGTACTTGTTAAAAGAGATATTTGTTGATTTTCTCATGCCTTTTTCCTTTTCTTGTGCAATATATTGCATGCCACATTTGTCGTTAGTTTTTCACCCAGTAGTGGATGTATGTATATGTCATGTGCTTTATTGGGGCTGTATTTTGAATTGCACCTGAGGCAGATGCTCAGTCCTAGGGCTGTGTATGCATTCAGCACATGGGGCCTGTTATAAGCAGAGAATGACATTCTTAACCGTTGAGTGACATGAATGGGAAGGGCTTGACAGTGAATTCACTGCATACACACTATGGATTCTAGTTAAGAGAAATGCTCAGGTGAGTGTAGCAAACATGGAGTCAAGTGTTAGAGAAGTATGTGAGGATTAGCAGGAATTACTGAAAAGAAGGGAGAATTCRGAACCAAGACCTGGGGTTATCAGGGGTGGGAAAAAGTAGAAGGTTGAAGTCACCTTCTTTGTCAATAACAATTGTGTTCTACAGTGTTCTTGTATAATTAGGGAGTTGGGCTYTGCTAACTGCCTGACCACACAACTCGTTCTGTAAAAGACTTCAGAAACTTAATGTGAGGAAACTCAGTGCAAGACCTTGTTGGAGGGAGGTGATATTTACTTTCAATAAGTCTGTGTTCACTCAGTTGCACCCTTGTCACAGGTGCCACTTGTCCCCATGGTCGTGTTGCTCCCTGTCTGGCCATGGTCAGTGGTGTGGGATGGGGATGAGGATGAGGGGCAATGCTGTGGAGTCCTCAGTGTATCCTGGGATCCTCTTCATTGATAAACTGACTTTTGGACATCATTTTGGTACTGTCTAGGAGGGASAGAAACATGTTGCCCAAGGTGATTYTGGAATCTCCATCTGTGGAAATACTTGAAACACAGATTGCCTTGAGTGAGCTACTGTAGGTCACCCTCCTTCCAAGGGGCTGTTTAGACAAGATATTCTCCAGAGGTCACTTCCAACCTGAACTACYCCATGATTCTATAATTAGATGTTATAGTCATGGTATTTATTTAGCAACAGGTGCTAATAATTGCAACAGTTGACATATTCAAACAGGAAATTATAGTCTTGATCATCATCACTGGAAGAGTCCCAGGGAATGCAGAGGTTTTATGAAGAGCAGTTGATTGTCTTGTTGAATGCAGTAAAACTTGTTCTGTTAAAAAAAAAAAGCCAAACCAGACCCTTAAACATGTTTTTTTGTGCTGTGTAAGAGAGGCTCTTTGTGTCTTTCTACTGTTTGTGAGCTGTATTAGTACTTGYAGACTGAACAATAGATAGTTTTAGAGCAAGTATCACACAATAGGTGAATGGAGGATTTTCTTCAGATTTCTCAGCTAATTACAAAGGCAGAGGCATAAAAACCTAAAAAGAGAACTACGGTGTGGCCAGACTTCATAGCAAGCTACATCTTTTCCAATGTTTCTTTTAATTTTGTTCCCACATTACTKCAAAACAAAACAGGATTTTTAACATGTAATAAAAATCCATCTCTCCTTGCTTCCATTTTTTCTTGAGCTGTGGCTGAGCTAGTTCTAGTCCTATGGAGGGCAAATTTAAAACTACTTGGTGTTTTTTCTCCCTTATTTCACAACTTTTCAACTGACTTCAGGATRTAACCCTTGGACTTTGAAGGTGCTATATTGGAAATACTTTTATCATCYTGTTTTTAAAACAAAAAGGATTAGTATCAATCTTTCCCCCAAGAGTAGATCTGCAAATACAAAGAACAAAGCTGCTATTAAAYGAAATTTCTCTGCAGAATGTGCTAGAGAATGTCTTTTTCGATAAAGATTTATTTTTGATGGTTATTTACCAGGTCTGAATTTCCATCTTTTACCAGTAAGGAAGTCACTGGGTGAAACTGTCAGTGGAATTAGAATTAACAGTAGTGTTTTCCTAGAGATCTTGTTGGGTCGTATTCCATTGTTAAAGAATATTTTGAACTAATTCATAATATGARATAATATGGCCTAAGACATAATATAGCCTGGATTTTTAATCATGGAAGGATTTTTATGCTTATGCTTTGGGGAGGGGTTTTTTTACTTTCCTCATTTTTCTGTTTTTACAAGAGTTTTCAGAAGTTTTTCTGTGTCTCTGGAAGCCCAATCTGATAAATGAATGAAGTAAGACCCTCTTCTAGATTTCATGAAGGTTAATCTTAATGGTGCTATTTTATGAAAACAATGGACAGATTCTTCATATGCACATCTGTCTCAGTTGCCTTTTGATCTCATAATGCAGTTTCTCTTGTAGAGATTCGTGTGTGTCCTAAAGAATTTGTAATGACCTTGGATTTTAATAGAGGAGTCCTATCATCTCTCTTCTTACACCTGACTTCAGGCAGGGGAGGAGTGGAACAGGAAGTTCACTGGGATATTTACTTCATAGGAAAGTTTCCTGGATCATTAGTTTTCAAGTGAATTTATGGAGTTGTGCTCCTTTCTCAGTGACTGTCCTGTGGCATTTGGAAATGGAGCAGAGCTGACATTCAGAATGTGTTCCATTCCTGCTCCGGAAATGCTGTGAGATTGAGTGTACCAGATGGATAGGTGGGGACTAAATCCTGGGAATTACCTGTGGGATGTCATCCCTCATGCCCAGGGAARGTGAGGTGAACACATGGGATGGGATATAAAAGAACCTGCAGGGAAGATTGTTTTGTTATGGGGCAGCATCTGTAATGACACCTTCTTTACCTGCAGTGRCTCCTGTCTCATCTTTCACCATCCTCAGCAGCAGGAAAGATCTTGAATATTGAATTTAGACTTCTAAGAGAAGCTTTTTCCTAACCATGTGAATCTCCCTTCTGGTGGATATTGGGCCCCCTAGCCATCATTACAAGGTTGCTGTTCTCAGCACGTTCAATGAGAGGAGCAAATGGCCCTGGATATGAACGGTGCCTTTTCAAATGCAAAGCAAACACAGATTTTTTTTTTTTGTCATCCCTCACTATTCTGACAAGGCTGTCACTGCCACCTGGGTGCACCCACAGCTGGAGCTGGCACCAGGGCAATGGATAATAGCAGAATCAAGCAGAATTGGCTATGGTAGCAGGAAGAACAGTGCTAAGCTTTTTCTCATTTCAGAGTTGTTCCTGTGTGACATTTGAAGCAGGTTTACTTTATAATATTGCCATTTAAATGTTTTCAATTCAAAGTGGTGATTTGAAGCTCACACCTTACTGATGTGGATGACTGACTTGCTTCACACCTCTGTTGCTCTTTTATCTGGAAGTGATCTTTTGCAGGCATGGTTTAACTCACACATTGATTTATGTGAGTTTCAATGGATAGGATTAAAAATAGCTGGTTTGCTGTCTCTCTTCTCTTTAGAGAATTCTTTCTCTGTGCTTATCTCTAAATATGTGTATTTATCCAGATACTTGGGGATTTTGCTGCTGTGGTAAGAAAGCACAAATGCAACAGAAAAGCAAAGGAGGTAACTGCAGAAAGGCCCTGAAACTGCACCAACACTGGTACTACCATGGTTTTATCTAATAATCTTACAATAGGATGCATTAAAAATTGCTCATTTATCAAGTTCTTAAGAACAGTCCAAACCAAATTGAAAATATTTGGTTTAGATCTATAAAAAACCCTCCATGCTTATATGTGATTGTTTATTAAAACCAAGTGATCAGTTCCCATTATTATGTCTGTGCCATTATCTCTGAAGCACCGACCCAATTGTTCTTGTGACGAGGGTCATGTTTTTAATGCCTGTTCTGTTTGCAGCTCCAGTTTCCTTCTTTTTGCTCAGCTTTGTGATGTGGGGTATTTGGAAATCCTATTAAAGGGCCTGCAGTGGAGTTGGATGTTAAATATGATTGTAATCTTGGTAATAAATGTCAATACCATGGAAATGAGTGTTATTAATTTAAAACAACAGTTTCAGCTTGAAATGCTTATTTATTTTAACTTATAACACTAATTTATTATTTCTGTGAGCAGGCATTTGCCCACTAGTGAGTCTATATTTTCATGGTGTTTAAACATTAGTAAAATTTTCAGTTATTTTATTTTGTTTGGTTGGTTTGGTTTGTTTTTTTTTAATTTGCACTGAGTTGGTATTGTAAGGGACATCATGAATGTYGTTAATTCTTTATCAATAGGAAAGGAATATAATTTTATTATTGATAGTTAAGTATAATCACATTTTAACAGTCTAAAGTAGCTCTCCACCTGATTGAGTACAAATATTTTGGTGTTCTTGTATTAGTCACTAGTTAACATATGTACTTGTGAACAATGGCATCAACCAGACAAGTTGCAGGTAAGGGTCTTCAAAGAACTATGAAAGTTTGAGGTAGAAAACTTAATAGAAACATTTAATATCTCTATCCTCAGCAGTTGTATCACTTTGCCCAAATTATTAGTGGTTTAATTCACCAAGATAATGGGGGCATCTGAAAGCTGCTCCATGGTTCAGCATACCCAACTGTGTTCTGTTCACCTTGGTGCCGTCAGGAGTCAGGGCTTTTCACTATTGCAACAGATGTTTCTGTTCTGAATGGAAGCAGAAAAGGCCTGAGCTTCTTAAATCTGGTGCTTTTCCCCCAGATGAATAACAGCTGCTTCCCATCCTTCTGAAAATAGTACAGGGAGCAAGAGATGAAGGTGCAGGGAGTCACAGTGTTTGACAGCTCTGTCTTCTGGCATCTTTGCCAGAACATGTCTAAAATAACTGCTCTAGAAGTAAGAGGAAGTGAATCTTTTTCCCAAGCTGAACTTGAATACGAGATGCAGGTTGGCTGGAGCACTGACTCACCTCCTGTGAGGTGACACATTAAAATATCTTACAAATAAGTTTTCTGTCTTATGCAGTGGTCTATATGTTGAGCAGCAGCAGTGTCTGGAGTTTCTATTGACAGCACAGTGCTCATCTTCATTTTGTTCTTCCTTTGGAGGAAACAAACCCAGTAGCTGATTTTCCCAAAGAATGCCTTGAATTTGRCTATGAAGAAAGCCTGTGATGATGGTGCCTGGCAGGTTTGCAGTATTCTCCCAAGAAGATGGTGTCCTTTTTGAAGACACTTCTGTGAGGCCAAAGAGGCTGTAGAGGAAGAAGAAATGTATCCCAGGATCAGCACTTACAACATAATTTAAAGAAACAAACCCACAGGATTTCATAYTCTGAGGAGAAAGAGATGTAGGTAAAAGTACAGATGCAAAATACCTGGAAATGCTCTCTGTGCCCTATACTTATGCTGGCCAAGAAGTGTTCCTGACTTCAGCATGAACAAAACTGTTGAGACTTAAGATGGTGAAATCTCCCTGGAGGTGGAAATTTCTCTTTGCTTCTCCTGGATGTCATTCAGGCAGTCAGGTCTGAGGGAGCAGGTGGCAGCTTGGCAGTAGTCAGTGTGGTAATTCTGCAGAAATGTGTTTCTTCATATGCAAAAGACACCGGGGCCGAGGCATGATCCTTGCCAGCCTTGTCTTGGTGTTGTCTATGAACCTGAAAAATATTATATCTTTATKTTTTCAGAGCTCAATTCCCATGACCTGAGAAACTCTGTATTCTCTTCTCTGAATAGCAGAGRAAGAAGCTGTGTTGTCTACTGGGAGTTCTGAGCACTCACAGAGAATTATCTTTTATTTCGTAAGTCTGGAAATATTAGAATACATGCATTGGGAAGTGATGGCATTTAGGCAAAAATATTCAAGCTGCCTTTTGTCTTTGTAGATCAGCCTTTATGATATCTGTCCTTCTCAGAAATGCTGGGTTATTTTATTCCTGGAGATATTACAGAATTAAAAAAAAAAAAAGTTTTGGAAACAGGAGTGTGGTTTGGTGTAGTTGCCCAGAGAAGCTGTGGCTGCCCCATGCCTGGAAGGGTTCAAGGCCAGGCTGGACAGGGCTTGGGGCAACCTGGGATAGTGGAAGGTGTCCCTGCCTGTGGCAGATGGGTGGAATGAGATGAGATTTAAGGTCCCTCCCAACCCACACCATTCTGTGATTCTACTCTGTGATTCTCTGTTCCAGAAAGCTCCCATAATCCAGAGTTAATGGCTAATGCAGGCAGTGACTTGGGGGGAAAAGCAGTGGCTCACTCAGTGTAGCTCAGAGAGCAGTKGGGATGGGACATTTGTTTCATTTGTTCCATTAAATGAGGTGACAAATTCTGAAGCACTGTGCTATGCTGAGACCTGGAGCTAAACTTTTAAAAATAATTGGGAGGAAAAGGAAAAGAAAACARTTTTTCCTTATTTCCCCCAGGGCTTTTGCAAATAAACAGAAGAGGCACTGGGGGCAGTGTCTTCATGCATTTTTGTTGCTGTTTGATTTTTCAGGCACCTGCATTTGGATTTATTTCTYTGCTTTGAAAATGAGGGAACAAACAAAACTAAGTATAGAAAAGTGGTGTCYGCATTTCATAAATGCAGAGATCTGCAGGGACAGGAGCTTTTAGAGCTGAAAGTCTTATTAATAACTTGCCATTACAAACCCCCAGGCATTGTTTTTGGCATTATTGACACTTCAAAATTAAATTCAGCAAGTAGGTAATTGGCTGTTCTCTAAGCAGTGTGTAGCTACTGGAGCAGGACTGAAGCTGAGTGCTTTAAAAGGGAAATATTCGTATTTTTAGGATCTCCTGATTGCTTCAGGATTCTCTGGTTTCCTGCAGTTAATTGCTTTCAGTTTTAGCATATCGTAGTCCTGTTTCTCTTGTGTAGATTGAGTACTATGGTAAAKATAGGGTTACATTGTTTATATTGTTAAATTTGGTTGTGTTTGGGCATAAGTAGATTACATCTGGCTGGTAAACAGAGGTGAGGAGCTGTATGCCAGAAGCTTTGGTGAATCCAGGTAAAATGCTGTAGAGAAACAGCCCAGTATCTTTATCTCCATATGTAGAGGTGTTTAATTCTGTTTAAGAGCCACAATGTGCTAGTTTACCCTCCACAGATATTTAAATAGTAGTGTGGTGTTTGGCTGTTTCATATTGCTGAAATACTAAATAAATCCCTTTGTAAATGATTCTTTTTCACACAATGCAGTGAACACCTGGGCACGAAGGTGTCCTTCYAATTTCCACATCAAGCTGCAGAATTTCAGTGTTTTTACAGCTGTTTCAGGGGTGCACTCACAGCSCTCAGCTGCACTGGGGGCCAGGGGCATGACAGGTTCCTTTTCCTCTTTGCTCTCACTTTTCCACCTTCTTATATCCACAACAAAAACTCAAAGGATGGGAAGAARTTAAAAGCATTATTATGGGTCTGTYCACTGCGAGGACTTGATCATGTACCTCACTGTTCTATCAAGTTGTTCAAGCAGCAGATGAAGATTGGACCTCATTGTGTTGCCTTATCTGTCTGTTATTCTTTCAACTTCCTTTGCTTAATTAATTAATGCAATTTTCTGTACAATATTTTTTAACCAAAATTTGATGCTGCAAGCTAGTCAAAAGCCATGAAAGAACAGAAAATCTCATCTCCAAGGAATTAATCAGCATAATTCTTTGTATGGATGCAGAAATCCAGAGAGGAACTGTTTACAAGGGCATGGAGCGACAGGACAAGAGGGARTGGCTTCAAACTAAGAAYAGATTTGGATATTGGAAAGGAATTTTTCCACCTGAGGATGGTGAGACCCTGGCATAGGTTGCCCAGGGGAGATGTGAATGCCTCACCCCTGCAAGTGTTCARGACCAGATTGGATGGTTTAGCAGAATGTCCCTGCCCATGGCACAGGACTGAAACAAGATGGGCTTTAAGGTCCTTCCAAACCAAACCATTAATCTGTGTTAATAAATAATCTATTAAATCTGGAGGTATAGGCATGAATTCAGTGTGCATGCATGGGTTGGGGTTGAAGACAGAGTGTGAGCTTGAGTCACTCAGTTACTGTGACACAGCTGCAAAATCTTCAGTGTCAACATCTCCCAGCCCAGCTGCAGCTGCACATGGCACCAGCCTGGAGTATCCTCCTCACTCCTCCCTGAGTAAGAAATACAGATGTATGTGTTTAGTAACACACACACACTGTGACTGACCACACTGTGGCTGACATAACTTGAAGAGGCTCAGAGCTTTGACCTTTGGGAAAAAAAGTTGATCTATAGGTGAAGTTCTTCACAGAGTCAAGTGGTTGTCTGAGCAGCTCCAATTTAATCTCAGAAATCCTTTGGTTAACCCGTAGCTTAGAGCACAAGATCAATGACCTTATCGTGCATCTTTGTGAGAACAATTTCATGGCAGTCTGAGTAGGCCAACTGATTGTGCCACTGGGATGCTCCCTCTTTAAGCAGCAGGGAATATTGATTCTATTTCAGCTAGTCAAGAGAAGTGAAAACAACTGGAAAAGGGATCAGGGCTTTGGTTCCTAACTGCCTAACGAGGATGCCATATTCCACTTGCTCCTGTGCTCCCCAAGGCACCTGTTGCAAGCAGCTGGATTTAATAATGCSTTTGCTGTCTGAGAAACTGCTTTCCCTACCTTGGGCTCATTTCTTTCCCCACTGTAAATGACTCACAAAAACTTGCTTTTCAGGCTGTTCCTTTTGCCATCTACCAGACCTATCAGAAATGGGAAGAAAACCTTGGGACMACTGCATTACTTTCAAATGTTAAATAGTCCTGAAAGCAGTAAGTGTGATGCAGTGAAAGAAAGTTCTCTCACTGAAAGGAGCTGTATTTTGGGGCCAGAGACTGCAGATCCCAGCACACAGTTTTCTTCATTCCAGCTGCTTGTCTGGATCATCATGCTCATGTAAGCTTGTATCGAGCCAAATCCTGTTGCTTTAAGCAGCAGCAGGAAGCTCTGAAGCAAATTCGGCCCTTGTTTTTCTTGTAATGCAAAGTGAAATGTAGGTTTGTGTTGTAATGACCTTCCTCCAAGAGAACTTGTATAGTTTTTCCCTGTTTTAAGCACAGTGTGAAGCAGGGCATGTTCATTTTGCAGGAGGAAGGACATGTGGTAGGAAAGGAGCATCCTCCTTGGCACAATTTGTGTTTCCCTGAATGTTGACAAGGGGTTCTGCAAAGGCAATGACTCTCTAGCCCAGGGAGATCTGTTTTAGCCATATTTTTTTTCTTTTGTCCCATGATGCACCAGATGCATCTTCTCCAGCCAACATGACAAACCCAATTGCTTCAAGACTTGATAAAAACACTTCTGGTCAGGGCTGGGGATGTAAAGGGGAAGAAGATGCTRCCTGGACTTGGTGATCCTGGAAAACCTCCACCCCTGCTCTCTGACAGTAGAGGAACTCCCAGGCTGAAATGGAAGTGCTCAGCCCTGGCACAGCACTAATTGCTGAGGGGAATTGGGAGCAGAGCTGCTTGTGGGCTGTGCCAGAGCCCATCTCAGGCTCTGATGCTCTCATCCATCTCTCTCCATTCAGGCAGCATCTCCGCTGGTGGCTCATCTCTAATGGAAAAGAGCAGCACATTTATAAATGTTGTCTGATCCAGCACCGGGCTGGGAGCTCACACAGGGGCTTGTTGGGAACCTAGGCTCACCTGGGAACAGCCAAGAGTCCCTCTCTATTTTCCTTTAATCTTTATTGTAACATCCACAAAATGTCAGTAATGATCCTGTCTGGCAGAAGGACTTTGCCATGTAGTGTTTGCAGGCTGCCTATTTAAATAATGGAACTATTTACCTATATGACTTAAGGATTTTCAACCTTTGCTCCGTCATGCAGGAATATTATACAAGATTATAGACTGTCACAGGAATTTGGGGAAAAACTGGTGGAAAGGTGGAGAAAACGGAGAAATGTTCAAGTTCCTGGTATAAGGGGTTTCACATATCCTTACTCTGATGAGGGCTCTAGTAAAACAAGCACCTGTTGTAAGTCTACATAGGTCTGGATTTTGTATTTGTTTCCTTTTTGTTGCTGTTATGATATAAAGTGAATTGTAAGGATTAGCAAGAGAATAAAGAGATCTGGGCTCTGGGAGGCTTCTCGGAAAGATCAGTAATAATGGCTCTTAATTTTTTAATGGGCTTTACCTTGCACTARCAGACTTAAATCAGTATTTTATGCTGAAGGCAAATTTGTTGCCATTAGAAAAGGARGCTTGTCTGCTCCMGGAGTGYAAGAACATACAGCACTTGTAATGGAGGCAAGTACTAAGCTTTTATTTTTGTGACCTTGTCCAAATAGGATGTAATTACARTATAATTAAATTGTGACAGTCTGGAAACCATGGCAGTTGACATAAAGTGACATTTCAGGAGAAATAGGCATATGTTTTAGTACATCTTCTCTTTCAGCATTATTGATGCTATTTGCTCTTCCTGCTTCTCTTGCTCCACTCCTAATACACAACCAGAACACAAGATTCTGGAAAATGTGCAGCAGTGGATCATGGTTAACCTTATAAATAAAATCTGGTATGGTGGAAAGTGATGTGAGCTGGCTTGTGTAGGCCTGGTATAGTTGCATTAACATAGCAATGTTTTTAATCTCCTTGGAGAGATTAAATCCTGGGCTGGACATCGTGAAGGATTCACTTAGAAAAGCAGAGAATAAAATTCCATTTGAATTTTGATATGGTCTTGCAACCTAAACCAAGCCTCTCCTCCTTCAGTCACGGATTTTGCTCAGGCTCAGGGAGCACTAACAATTTCACCAGACCCTTGACCCTGCAAATGCCCCAGAGACAGGTGTGTCCCAGCAGGATTTTGTCATTGGTTGTCCAGAGAAGAAAAAGCTGCAGGTGTGAGCTCAGGCACAGACAACTCCAGCCTGCAAAAAGGAACCRTACCAAGGTATTTTCCATCTTTGTACTTCTCTAGCACCAGAATCACATTATTCCCAATTTACTCTTGTAGCATATAGGTTGTTTTCTGTGCACTAGGAATATCTCAKTGCAGTCAGTTATCTCTGTCTCTCCTCTGAGACTGGTTTAACAACCTTTGATGAGTCAYTTAAAATGCTCATTAAGGAAATGGAGGGGATCTCATCTAAGTGTTCACTCACTGAGCCACTGTCGCCTTCCTTTCAACCCCAGACAAAGAGGGAAACAAAACATKGCCAAATGCATCTGTGTGTGCAACTCCCAAGGACACAGAAATCATTTTTAAAKGTCTAAGGATTGAAAGCAGCCATCCTGCTCTATACCATGTAATTTCCTGGCTATGGAACTGGGGATGGCTTCTAAATGCTCCAGTCACAAGAAGGATAAAGTGCTGTGATGGGGCACTAAAAGGATAAAATTGAGGTGAGTAAGTAAATTTGGTCCACACGGAGCCCTCAGATGGGTTTTACTGTTGCTGAAGTGCCATGTGTGGCATCTGTGCATGCATTTTCTTTAAATAAAGAGTAAAATGAGTTATCACTGCTTTGTGTATAAAGCAGGGGACAAGGCCACTAAATTTTCCCTTTGCTCTTCCTGTTGGGTTCCTGGACAAGCCACCTAGCCCCTCTGCTGACCCGACCACCATCCCACACCACCTTTAAATGGATCATTTGCCACACAGGTCCCTGTTTGTGCCTTGCTGCCAGCATCCAGCTGCATTTAGTAGTGGAAAACAGTTAACTGGTACACTCCAACCCCAGATTACGTGACCCCGAAAAACCTTTCATTCAGAACTTTCATAAGTCCCCTATGAAATGTGTCTACATGTTGTTCTTGCTGCTCTCATAGCTCAGTTCTCTCTAATGGCTGCTGTCTGTATCTGTGATTCTCTGTGTCCACAGTTAGGTTAAGAGGAATTACCTGGCCAGCATAAGTGGATCTGTGTTGTTGAGATTCAGYTCTTAAAGATTCACAGGGTCCACATTCCTTTATTGAATGCACAGGTGGCACAGAAATAAAATGTGATCCTGCAACATTGGGGAAATATATTAGATAACTGCCACTGAAAATGGCCAGCTGGCACTAACATAGCCAGGGGAGTCCGATAGAATTGGGTTTGAGCTATTTAAGATTGTTAATAATTAATTAACCCAGGAGGTGACTGGAACAGACACAATTTTAATCAAGATTGAATTATTGGTTTCCCAGGCATGCTTTGGAATTTATCAGTTTGCTAGCAGGATGAAGCCCCTCAGCCATCTTAATTAACAATCCCTGCACTCAAGAACCCCTCCAAAAGAATGCCCACAGGATCAGATTCACCTTTCCTCCCTGCTGCCAGGCAAAGGCCASCTCCCCACATTTCCATTCCATTTGTCTTTTGCTGAAAATACACTGATTTCATGGTCTCTTACCCTGCAGAAGCTAGCCTGTTGCTAAGCGACCTGCAAGATACTGAAGGGGGCAGGCTCTGGTTGCTTTTGCTCAGCCCACTCYGATTCTTATTTATTTATTTATGCATCTTATTTACATAGCTAAGCAGATTTCTTCCTACCACAGAAGCAGAGCCACAATCCTCTAGGCACCTCTGCAGGGTGCCTTGACTTGCAGAAGTTGCTTTTGCTCCCTCTAGCACCATCCTCTGCCCTGTTTTTCCTGGTGCTCCTGTTCATCAACTGGGCAAATTCCAAAATATTTGTTGAGCTGGAGTGGCATCCAGGAGTATAATGGAAGTGTGTTTTAAAGGCATAGCTGGCCACGGACTGCTGTACCTGGTGTTTGGTCCAACAGTCCTTGATGGAAATAAAAAGGGTCAGAAAAAAAAAGATGGCTTTAAGCCCTTTTTCTGCTTACTTTATTTCTGGCTGCTTTAATTTCAGCAGTGTCCGCATTCCAGGCTTCTTGTAGTCTGGAAATTGAGAAAATGGTTATCTTTCCCTGCCCAGCAATGCTGGGAAGAGCTCTGCTGTAGAGGCAGTTCTGCAGGACCAACTGCATTTTTGTAGGGTGGGGTTGGGATCCCAGCCAGGGCACAGATTTGCCTGAAATTGTATCCACGACAGGAGCAGGTTGCTGATGGAGCACAGATAAACTGGCAGTGTTTGTAGGGCTACACGTGGACAGCAGAGGAGAGTAGAAATGTAAGGAAAATGTTCCTGTGCCATTTGTTCTAGGTGTGCTCCCAAAACCAGAGAAGCTGAAGTGTTGGTATCTCTGTTACATTCTGCATTGCCCATTGCTCCTCGCCAACAAAACATCAGTAGCACTGGTAGGAGTCACTCCTCACAACCAGGAAAGCATTAAGAGGGAATTCTGTACCATAGCCTGGCTGTGTTTGTCCTGTTTGTCGTTCTTTGGTGAACTAACTGCCACACTCCTCAGTAAAAACTCCAGAGACAATTCAGAGCYTCTCAGAAGCTCCACTGTTTTGCACCTCCAGCACAATACTGTAGCTTGAGAAAGASGGGAGTGAATCCTGTAGAGATTTATTTGGAACAAACAGGGACCAAACTGGTTTTTTCCCCTATTTCCTTTTTGTTTCTGGAAGTAAAACCAACATTCATGACCTGTCTCTTGACTATACTTCTTCCACAAATGTTGCCTTTTGGGCCCCTCCTTACAGCCTTTGGATGCAYCAATGGACAGCTTCTTTGTCTAACTGCTGCAGATTTCACTGTGGAATTTTTTTTTTGGTAAAAAAATAATTTTTCTGCTTTGATGATCCAGCCATTACCTGACCTGACTCTCTCTGCAGAAGAACAGGGAAAATGGCATGAAYAATTAGGTTTGTATATACAGTCTTGCAGAACAGGGGTTGTGCACAAGGCCAGATATATATATATATATTTTTTTTTTACATTTAAGTGAGATGAGGAAGGTGTTTTAAGTCCAGACTGAATTTTACCCTTGTTTACTTTAAGCATTCAATTACTCATTTAGAAAGCTAAATTATATCTGAGTGGCTCGACATGCTCATGGTGTCATCTTGTCTTTTCAAAACAGATTCTTGGTCTTGTCATTTATGACAAGTCTGTCACTGGGGTGTCCACTTCTTTGCACTCAGAGGGGTGCTATTGTAAAACCTTTGCTGACCAGCAATTCTGCGTACTCTTTTTTAAATGGTTGAAATTYCCCAAGCCAAGCTGTGCTGTTTGTGTCAGGTGTAGGTTTTGGTGCCATTGTTCACCCAGAGCTCAGATTTGGCAGGTGGGGAAATTACCTCACATATTCTCTAAGCTGAGTTGTGAACAAAGCACTGGAAAGTTGGTACCAGCCTAAATGCTCAGGAATAACTTCTACTGTCCTGAGAGGATTTGTCAGGTACATTGGAAAAGATGAGTTGACAGATTTTAATTTCCTTAGTTGAAGATAAGAAGAAAAGGATCTTTCTTGTGAGRAGATGTCMCACATTTAGGGAATAGGAGATGATRTTTAACATCTTGAATGACACCCAGAAGCAGACAAGTGGCTGGGATGGATGGGAATCTCTGCATTTCTGTTTCTGGCTCTTCCCACCTGATGTACTCAGCTGTCGCTCTTGAACTTTCAGATCTGTGGCAAAATGTGGGGTGGTTTGCAGTGCTGAGAATGGGCAAAGTAAACCTGAGCTGACATGGGCATGGCAGGAGACACAGCTGCCCTGTGGATATGCTGGTCACTGATCTGTGTTTCCCACTTGTTCTTTCTTTGGTGGTGGTGGGCCCWGACAGCTCTCTATAGCCCAAAGTCCTGTAACTCTGAAGGATTCAAGAAGAGCACAGGAATGCAGACARTACTGATAAACAGAGCACCAGTTGTGCATTCCTAATGGAAAAATGAGAAAAAAAAAAGTGAGAATAAAAACACAGTATTGCCCAACAAAATACCCTGGATGTTTTGCAATGCACTGCTGATAAGGGATGGCCAAAGGCACGGAGACACCGAGTTAGGATGCTCCATCTCCAGCTCACAGTGGGCTTTCTCTCTTGCTGCTGTTACATTTAATTAGGAGAGATAATAACAATCACTCAGACCTGTTTCTGGTCTTTCTCAGTTTCATACTTCTAACYAGTGTCAAGGAAATTACCCTTTGGGTTTATTTTTTTCCCCATGAGATACCTTCACCCTCATATCAATACGAAGGAATGTCAGGGATATCCTATATCACAAGAGTCACCCAATGTGAATCATTTGTTTCACTCTACTTAAAGCTGAGGGTGACCAGTTAATGTTCTGATAAATCAGTTGCCAGCCCCCAGGCAACTCYTCCAGTCCCAGGAGTGTTACTRAGTCCRTGTGTAGTTGGCTCTCTGCCTTWAAGTTCTGCACTGATAGAAGAAAGMTACTCTGTGGCATTCCAAGAAACAACCATCATATATTTTTCATGTATGATTTTATGTCTGAGAAAGGTGATTAAATCCTTCACTGCTTTTAAAGAGTAATTATTTTTAAAGATGTCCCTGCTCATTKCAACAGGSTTGGCCTTTAAAGGTCCTTTCCAAACCATTCTGTGATTYTGTGATAAAGAGTAATTAGAAACAGAGTTATTCTGTCACAAATGAGRAAAGGACATCTATAACCTTTCAAACAATTATGCAGTACCTGGATTTACATGACATAAGACATTCACTGCAATATAGCTTTTCTTTTTCATGTTAGTGATTACTTTCTTGTGAGTTGTTTTATTTTGCTTCATTGATTTCCAAACAGTGAAAATAATGTTGGTGATCATATAAAATATGTACTTTGGAAATACATTGAGGAATTTTAGGGTGATTTTTCCTTAGGTTGCTAAGGAATAATAGTGACTGGGTACTTAAGAAACCTCCTTTAAAAAATTTTTTTTTGCAGATCATCCTAATTTTTATTGCATGCTTTCTTTTTCTTTGTTTGATTTTTTTCCCTTCAGATCAAGGAAAAATTAGCTCTCACTGATTACAGGCTTTTTCCTTGCATTTCTTGCAGAAGGAATTTTGCACAAACACTTCCCCTGCATGAAAGACTTATTAAAAATTAAGTCCATATTAGAAGTTATGTTTCARTTTTCTCTCTAAATATAGGCCTTTAGCTGGATGTGGAGAGGAGTCGATAGGAGTATTTGTAGTGAGGGAGCTTCCAAGGGAGCTCAGCCCTTGAACTGACCTCAGCTTGAACAGCACATTGTGCCCATCCTGARTATGTGGGTACATGGATATGAGAAAATGTTCTCTTGTCCTTTGGACACCTGTGCTGAACTGGACCAATCCCCTATGTTGGGGTTTGTTTTTTTTTTTGGGTTTTTTTTTTGGGGGGGGAGTGTCTCAATTCTTTTAGTTGCACAGGTATCATAGTACTAAGTAATACAATACTTATAGTCAAGATTTTAAAATACAAGCTTGGAATAAGACAAATGGTGAGGGTAGRAGAATATATGGAAATATATCTGATCTCTGGTTTCTGAAGAAATAGCTGATTATCATGTAGAGCTCTTTGATAACTGGTGGCAGCACCTTCTSTGCCCCTGCACACATAGCATTTGAGCTCTTAAAATAAGCTTATTAACAGTCAAATCAAGACAAGGTAATCTTTAAATCACAGGTAAATACAGAAGCTTTTCTCATTGTGGTATATTGAAGCATTACACGTAGATGCAAATTTTCCCAGTGGGAGACTGGATCATCACAGTTAAGTATTGGAATAGTTTGTCTCCCAAAGCATCTTGTGAGAACAGAATTTCCCTTTCACTGCATGGGATGATGAAGAGGGATTTAGGAGCAGAGGATTATGTGGAGTTTAAATTAGTGGATGCTGTTGGTGATCTTATACAGCTGATCAGCTTGCATGGTTCTGATCCTCTTTCCTGCCATGGAGCTGACCTGWGCAAATTCCTAGGGAATTTCTCCAGGGGAGTACAGAGGCTTAGCTGCTTTCTGCYACTCCTAGCAAATGGGTCTCGAGTTAAATGCCTTCTTTGTATCAGCTGGCTGTTTGTCAGCTTGGGTATCAACATCTACCAGCAAGTGCTGTTCGCTGGACTTTTTTTGGCTGCATTCAGTCCYGTGTTCTCCAAGTTAGTGCCTTTATTTTTAACTCCAGCATTGAGGGACACTCCATTCTCCTGAAAAGAGTCAGTTTGTGTTTTTAATGTATAATGCATGAAATGATCTCATTTCAGTCATCGGGCATGCCTCAGTCTAGACTGTCTCACAATCACACTGACTGCTAAAGCTCAGGGAAGGTGCCBGGACTGGTCTGTCTGGTTTAGCCCAGTTTCCCTGACACGGTGTCCCATTTCCTCCTCTCCCACAACACTTCAGTTTTAATTACTCCTTATCTCATCTTCCAAGCAATCATCTGGTGGATTCATTTTTTGTTTTGGGAATATGCCATTACTATTGTGCTGTTTGCATACAGATATGTCTCACCTTTCCCATGAGGTTCCTGTCAGGGTGTTGATGGGGTCCCAGCACAGCCCAGGGTGTTGTGGTGGGTTTGATGAGCAGAGGATGTGCTGTGCTCCTGCTTTTTTCTTCCTTTTAGTTAAATACAAGAATTTTTTATGGTACCTGGCTCTCCAGCCTTCCCTTCTTTCCTCTTTTTTCTTGTCCCAGGCTGAAGGTCAGGTGCAAAGAAATAGTAAAGATACTAAAATCYGACATGATGCAGGGCACTTGAGGTCATCTAGGTAAACATGTCACTGAGCAGCATGGCTGGTTCAGCACTGGAGCAAACTTGACAGAAAACATCAATAATAGTACTCCTTACAGTGTTGCATTTTCCATTAATTTTACCTTTTTCAGTCTTCCTTAGGAATGTAGATAAGGACCATTAACCCCTCTTTGAGTAGTGAATGAAAAATATGGAGATATGTATTTACCTTGAGAATCAAGYGTGGGTTTAGAATGAGAAGGCCAGAATCCTGGGCCCTGTATGAGTCTCTCCATGTGGCCCATGCACTATTTATTGTGTTGATTAATGTTAATAATACCTTTTGTTTGCTGATCATCTGCTGTAAATGAAAGGAAAATGAGCTGTTTGGGTGTGTTGGAGGTTAGGGTTTTCCCTTTCATTTTTCTTTTTACTTAGGGAATTTTTCCCCATTTTGTTGCTTGCTAAGGAATAATAATGAYTGGGTACTTAAGAGAGACAAAAGAAGCTGCCAAACTCAGGGAAGGAGGGCACCTGGCTGCACTTCTCTTATCTGAGGGTTTCTCTGGGAAGAGCAGAGATATTGTGAGAATTGGGCTGGGAAAAGCAGGGCTGGGGCATGATACCTCAAAAATGCCTAGAAATACAACTCCATAGATTGGTGTCTATAGAGCAGGTATTTGTTTATTGTAGCGCTGGAGGTGAGGGCCATTTCTCCTCCTGACCCATCTGCCTTCCCTTAGAATTGGCAGTATTTATACAGTGAGCATGGTGGAACATTACCATCATCACTRCACCCACACCATCCATGGGCACAGAAATCCACAATATCACAGTTCTGTAGTGCACATGTGGCATCCTCAATTCGGTGGTTGCGGGGGTCTCCCTCTAATGAGATACCATCCTCTTCATCATGGGGGACTTTTCACCTTTGCCTTCAGGGCACGCACAGTTGTGATATTCATGGTTTTTCCAGTCCTCTAACTCTTCATTTTCCATTTTTCAGCTGACTGTCCTGTGCCTCTGCCAAGTTCTCCTTAGCGCTCTCTACTGTTCTTTGTTATAGCATCTACCTGTCCACTTCTACAGAACTTTTTCTGATTTTTACGTGTTTACATACTAATCCAGCTGGTTGGATTACATCCAGCTGATACACTGTATATTGCTAATATCCTATATAAAAACTTACAAYAATACATGGAAAAGCTGTTATTGATAATATATTGAAAGCTMTTACATTGTATATTAATAATATGTAAAAAGTTAYTACATTCTTATAATGTATAAAAAGTTATAGGTTGTTGCTGCCGCTGTTCGTTTGCCTTGTTATGCACAATAGTAAAGAACTGCTACTCCTTTTCCCATATCTTTGCCTGAAAGACCCGTGACTGCAAAGTTATAATAATTCAGAGGGAAGTGGGGTCATATTTTTCCATTCTAAGGGAGGTCCCCACCTTCTTTGGCAGACACTTGTCTTTCCAACCAAGGCAGGGTGAAATCCCTGAATGAACTATACTGAAAGCAGGACAGAAATCCATGTAAATCATTTTAAATACAAACCATCCCTATACAACACCTATGCTAATTTATTTTTTTTTTAAGATTATGCTTTACTCATTTGTTTTCTTTTCAATACCAAGTGAAGTGATAAATACAACAAGTTTAAAATGCATTTCACAGGTAATGTTGAATTTATTATGGAATTTAGCTCTAAAGGATTTTTGCATGGTCTAAATGCATTATTCAGTTGTTGGATTAATAGCCCCAGGGAATATCTATCAGACTCTTGTCCGTGCCATAGCTGGGGGACTGTTGAGGGACCTGTTGGTAGTCATTTGGCTCGGAAGGCACAGGTTCACCTGCCCCCCAGCTGTGGCAAAGTCCCTGGTAACTGGCCCTTCTCTGGAGCTGCCACCACTTGCCTGAATTATGGAGTTGAGTCATTTGTGGATGTCTGCTGTCATGGAATGGGAAGGGGTAAAAAAGGGTCCCCAAAGAGAAGAGGTGACACAGGAGACGGGTGGGAGAAGCCTGCTGTTTTCCAGGAAATTATGCTCCAAGGAAGATCAGGAATTTCTGTCCATTCCTTCTGCATGATTTCTGTAGTGTTCWCTCTGGTCCAAACTMGCCTGGCTCACTCAGAGGGCATTARGCTGTTGGGGAGCYCACTGATACCATCTCTTGCTTTTCKAARCAGGAAAAAMRTTACCCTATTTTGCCAAAATAAAAGGACAGGGGAAGAAGAAGTATGCTCAACTCAATACAAAGTATGCCCCAAATATCCTGTAAAATCTGTGTTTTCAACAGATGAAGGTCGGAATTTTCAAAAAATCACACTAAAATTCAATATTCTTTTACTTGGTATCAATACTGGCTCAGGGATGTCTGCTTCTTTTCTTGTYCTTTTGTCACCTGTCACACCACAGCTCTTTGTGGGGCCAAGCAATAAAATGCACTGATAGTTCAGTTGGAGTCCTGTGCTGCCTTTGYCACTGGAAAAACATGAACACACAAAAAGTCATTGCAATTCTAACTCAGAGTTGCCTGTTCTCAGCAGGCAAGAAGGAAGTTCGTGAAACAAAATATTTCTGGCATATGAATCACATCTGAAGGAAGCTTAACTGGAGAAAGGCGATAACTTCTATTGCCCTTAGAAAGTGATAGTGCAAGGATAGGGAAGACATATAAAAACATAAAGTTACAATGCAAAYTGAAAAAATTAAAAATCAAAATAAGTTCATGAGTTCATTTAAAAAGCTTCAAAATAATTTGGAATGGACTGAGTTGAATAATGAGCATGTACCTGTAGGCTGGCGTCCCAGCTCTGCTGCTCTTTAATCTTGTTCATGTTTGTGTGATTTTAGAAATCAAAAAGGGCAGATTTATTTTGGGCATGCCTTATTTAACTGTAGTTCTAAGTTATGTAAAACCTGAAATGAAGAGCAAACTTGACCCAAACCCTTAAAATTTCAAGTGCTAATAACCATCTCAAAGAGGAACTGAGCAAAGACACAGAACAGAATGAGTCGAGAATGTGCTTACAGATATCCAGGGAGTAACCTTCAGCARACTGGGGAGTGATCAGCTGGGCTGCTCTCCCTTCTTTGGAGTTTTAGGGTGATAAATAGTTTTACCTCTTTTCTTTAAAGATCGACCATAGGAACATTGAGGAAGAAAATTCTTATGCAGCAGTTGTTGCATGGAAGCATGAGTAGCTTTTTGTATGTCATGCAGCAGATTTCAAACCAGCAGCAAGCTAATTGAGAGGATTTATCTCTGTAACTATATGTGCTAAAGCACATTGAGCCCACATTTTTACCACACATTTAGAGGATTTTATTAGGAGAAACACAGGTGCATACACCTGCTTCTTTCAGGGGAAAAAAATGGGCCATGCTAATTTGACATTTTAAATAATAAAAATAAATCTTGGAGAAGCAATCACTSATCAGTCAGAACCTGGCAACACATTTCTGGAATGGTGCGGGTCATTGCTGCGAGCCATGGTTACTCCGTGTTCCAGTCTCACACGGAATCCAGAAATGCGTCTAAAACTGGAACAGAGTKCCAGTTTCTGCTGCATTCTGATGACTGGCAAGTCCTTTGTGGGTGAGAAGACAACAGAACTGTGTGTGTGATCCACAGCGTTTGACTTGTAACCAGGTGGTTTTCACTTGCCCTTCCCCTGCGTGCAGAATTACAAGAGCTGATACTATCATTATTCATTCCCACTGGGGGAAAAGGACATGTAAACTTATCTTGAAGACTGACAAATGCCATTCCAAGTGCTCTGAAACAGCGTTTTATGTTTCTGTCTCTGAAGACGGCTGTGATCTTCCCAGATTCATTAATGCATGAAAGGCAAATCACAGAAAAGGCCTTTGTGTTCCTGGAGCTTGTGGCAGGAAGGGAGCGCTCACCAAGGAGCTGCACATACCTCCCTTCCCAGTCTGTCAGAAGATCCTATCCCTGTCAGATAGCAGCAAGACATTCCTGGGGGTGGAGTGAGAATAAATTTATCTTGGGAGTGAGCAGGATTTTGCTKTGCTAGGAGAGCTGGTTTGCTCAATTCAGGAATTTTCCATTCACCTCTATTAACCATTGGCATATAAATCCCAACARCAGCAATTAGGGCTACTTGGCTTGACAAGTTAACAGCTTTCTGCGGCTCACCTGTCCTTCTGCTGGCTCTCTGTCTCCTGACTGCTTGGTGGCACTGCTTCTCCAAAAATTCCTGCTTCAGAGGTATGCTTTCACAGCTATGTGGTGGAGGGGGCTGYGTTCCTATTCCTTGAGGCAGGCTGCTGCAAGATAGATGTGGTGTTAGACAGAGCAGCGCTCTTTACTTTATGGAACTATGAACATTCTACATGGTTTTTATTGTCTTTTGGTGGATTATTCATTACTTCAGCACCCAAAAACCCCAGCAGAGGGGCAGGGTCTGTATGGAAGAGCTGGGAGGAGTGTGTAGTGTGGCCTGAGGAGGTGGTGAAGGGCACCTCTGCTTGCCCCTTCCCTTCCAGTTTGTCTGGTGTGAGCAGGCTGCTTTTGTGCCTGGGTAGACATGTTTGCTTTGCTCAGTTTAACTCAAAATATTTAGTTTAGCTGGATTGATAGTTATAATTTTGTGTGCTGATTCAGGGTATAGCACAGGCTGTTAACAGGAATGTACAGTGCAGGTTCATAGGGATTTGCAGGCATTTCCATTAGCTTGAAACAACTGAAAAACATCCAATTTAAAGAGATGCACTATCCAACGTGTCACAAATCAGCCATTAGCTCTTGCAATTGCTAGTAAGAACATGCCAAAATTATAAACCCTCTGTTATGAATAGGTATGAGAATTATTGAACTAATTATACAATAATATACAGATGTAGTTCTGTTAAATAATCGTAATCTTTCTGTTTAGGAGGAAAAGAAAAAGGTACTATTCGTTGTGGTCCATAATTTTAAATGGAAATGCCTGTTGGCTAAATCAGGGGAGGGGTTTGAGTAGCTGCAGCGGTGGAGTATGCTTGATACTTTGCACTCTCCACCTCCTGCCCTTATTGCAGAATTMAATTGGTCTCTCATTAACGTGGGAATGTTTGCTGTTCCCCCACCTGCTCCCTCCCCTGTGCCTACCTGGCTGTTCCAAGGTGATGCCAGTCCCTGTTGGCAGTCCCTGGAGCAGTGTGGTGGGAGGGGAATGGGAAGGGAYTGTACTTYTGGCAGCAGTTCCTTTGTCAGAACACTGGGGAGGGGCCACTCACAGCCCCATGGTTTGAACTTGCTCTGCAAGAAGCTATCAACCCCACCCAAGGACACCGAGGTGAGGAGGAAGCAGCATTTAAAGGCTTCAGAAAACCTGAGCTGGGTTTGGCATAGCAGGTAGGAATTTTGTATAGGTGACATGGAGAGCTACCTTATCTTTAGCTGGACTGGAATCTGAAGTCTTTCTAYTGCAGGAATTAATTGGAAAAAATTGCCTTTGAAGAAAAACGAGGAAAAATGCATTACAGGCGTGCTTCAAGGAAAAAAAATCTTTCTTCATTCTGCAAGGGTTCAGCATGATCAGAATCTGCTTTAGTCACAAGAGTTTAACCTCAAGTGCTGCATTTTTGTTTGCCATAAGCCTATTAGAACTCTGTTTCCTAGCAATAATATGTAATTTCCCCCTCCTATTGAAGTGGAAGGGATGTTAGGGTTTTAATCCTGCCCACTATAGCTGTTGCTCAAGTTTCCTATTCAAAAGCAAATAGCACCTGGTGCYATTTAGATAGCTGCAATCTTTGATAAAGATACTCCAGGAGGAGAGGAAAAAGAAAAACAAGGTGGGTCTGACTCTGTTCATTCTGGAACATGAGGGTGTAACCATCTGCCACACCAGCCTGCACTGGAAATTTCTACCAAATTTGTTGGATCCGGCACAAACTCTTTTTGGAGACAAATGGATGGCTGCAGTGATTTCTGTTTCTTGAGCAAGTATGATTTTTCACCAGGAAGAAAAGGTRTCCAGAGAAGATAAAAATATAGTGGATGGAGTTTTATCTTGCCTGATTTTCCTGAAAGGAGTTTTTTTCTGGGATAATTTGTTTCTTCCAATTCTGCATTGTTTTCTAGATTTTCATTTGTAGTTTTTAGAGTACTGATTCTTAATTATTTTTTTCCATATTTTTCCTTGTGCTGTTTTTGCTCAGTGTCAGATAGATAAAAGAAGTTGGGATAAATTAATTGTAAAGTCAGGAGCAATTTGGAGGGCTGCTCCACTATTTAGGATTCACAAAAGAGATAACATATTACTTCTTAACTAAAATAAGACCAGCGCAAGATTCAGGTTAAAAACCTTCTTCTGTGGAAAGTTTTGATTGCTAAATTGTTTTCATTTCACTTGTGGAGGTACAGGTTTATTCAAGAAARAGCATTACAGCCTTGTTGCATTTTTCAGGGCTGTTTTACCCTCCATTACATGTGGAAGCTGAAGGACCCTTTTTTAGAGGGTTGTGATTTGATGCCATCATCTTCCTGCTAAAATCAAAGTATCTGCAGGGCATAGAATGCAGTCCAGATCCTTGGAAAAGCAAAAGTGACTGTTYTAAAAGATTTTAAAGGTGAGATTTAGAAACTTGCAGAAAATTTCAAGGAATGCCTGAAAGAAATCAGCATTACACCGATCTTTGGGAACTTACAAATAAGCCAGAARCAGCAATTCATAGGAGGGGAAGACTGCTGACAGGAGTATCAGCTTTCATGGAAGAAAACTGGATATAAAGAATGAACAATTGCTACCAAACTGGAGAAGCACAGCAGTGATTTCGGTGCTGCTGTTAAGCTCTGACAGTTCTTTTCTTGTTTAAGACTGAACTGTTTTGTCTCTTGCTGTTTCATCTTTGGCCTAATACTGGAATTAAAACAGCTTCCCTGGCTTTCCCCAAACTTGAGCAAACGCCTTTTGCAAGCCAAGCTTTGGGAGTGTGAGCAGGTGCCGCGTGTGCTTCCCATGACACCCAAGGCACCGTTGAGAGGAAGCCCCACACGGGAGCTGATTTGCTGYGTTGTGACACTCCTTTTTCTCTCATGACACTCCTTCCCCATGAGCGTCCTCAGGTGGGTGTGAACAACTGACACGGAACTGAGCCAAGGTTCAGCCTTGGACTGGCGACTGCTCAGCCGCCAACGGCAAAATGATGGACGAGATCTCCATGGTGGTGGCTTACGATGCCCATGTCTTTGGCCAGCTGCGTGATGAAGATGTTCTGGCCAATCTGGTGGCAGGCAGCAAACCCAAAGCTGTGGTAGGTGTTCCTTCTTTGTCCTGGAGTTAAGTCCTGTTGAAAACTTTACTATTTAGCGCCCTTTTTTTTGTACTTTAGTTTCACTTCTTATTACTTGGTTTCTATTTTATTACTTTTTCTGAAATTTGCTGTCATACACCAAGAAAATGAAAATAATTTATTTCAGAAGAGATTATTAAAATCTCTTTCTGGGCAGCTAAGTTTAGAAGAAGGTTATTTGCTCAGTAGGATCGTAGTGAAAATAATATTTTTTACATAATTGAAATAATAATTAGGCCAACAAATGAGTGAACAAATCCAGCTGTATACTCTTAGAATGTAAGTCAAGAGGTTGGGATAGATGCTGGTTCTGGACTGCGGGTATCTTCATCACTACATCTGAGAGAATCAGTCCCTTCCTTAGGAGTGGTAATGTTCCACTTCTATATATTTTGAAATCAGCATAAATATCTGTAAAAACCTTTTAATTGACTGAAATGTGCTATCTCTTCACAAATAGCATATCTCTTTACGTAACTAACACATAGAGTGTGGTCATTTCCCTCCGTCATGGAGATCCCMGTGCTTGGAGGGAGCTGCAGGCTCKGACATTTGGTGCCAAAGTTCATCTTTGGCCTCAGATCATACAGCTGAGCCAGTGTGGGAGCCAGGCTGCCTAGAAGTAGTCAGAGGGAGTGTTTYAAAATAAAAATGTATGTATAGGTGTTAAGTTTAAAGTGCAAGCAGTTGCAGTTAACATTTCAGGCTAAATACAAAACAATTAATTGTTCAGCAGCCCAGAGAAGCACTCGTGTTTGTATTTAGTCAGTTCCTCTGCTGGGACAAAGGATCAAGTGTTCTCACAAAAGGAGAATTAGCTTTATTGTATCTTGTCTAAAGCCCCCCTGTGCTTATTTCCTGCTTGGGTTTTTCTGCCTCTCCACGCTCAGGAGATCTCAGGTGCATGAACTCATCTGCATCTGTCACAGGATGATTGAATCTCTGGATGTAAACCAGAATTCTATCCAATCCCTTTTATTATGATGCTTTTCCCTGTCTCTGGTCTTCTCTAGGCCAGATTTTTCAAGGTCCATTGAAACAGTTAGACCGTAAATGTGGAAATCCAGTGTAGACAAAACTGTGTTTTAATATAACCKGGTTGGGTGCTGGGCTTCAAGCAGGCTTTGGTTAACCAGCTATCAGGAGTCACACACTATCCATGCTGGATGTTTTAAAATATGTGGTATCCCTTAATTCACTGTCCAGCCACAGCCTTCCTCTCATTGTCCCTTAGCTAATTGCTGTGGCAGCATGTATTCCTTGGCCTGGAAGGCCAAAGCAGTATTTCTTCTTCCAACAGGACTGGGTGTTGCAATAGGATTAACTGGAGCCAGCCACTGGCAGCTCTGGGAGAGTGACTTAGGAGGAGTTTTCTTCACAAGGGATGATGAATGGAGGGTGTTCCTGGGAGCTCCTGCCCTGAACTGCTGGCGTGTTCTAGAGCTAGCACTTGCAGTTGCTAAATTAAAATCCCTGTGGTAAGAAGACCTTCTATGGTGATTTACCTTTGGAAAGTGTTCCCATGATGGGCTCAGTGATGACTTCTGCAGGTCTGGGTAGCTGAAGAGCACAAGTAATGGGAACAGTGTTGTGGATCTGTAGATGCCTCTGGATCAGCTCTGAGCTACCTGAAGAGAGAGTAATGGGTGTGGAGAGCACCACATTACATCTCCAGGTGATTTCTGCCATTTTGAAAATAAGATGAAAAAACTACTTATCTCCTAGTAAATATAGAACAACTATAAGAAAAAAAAATACCTTTATTACTTTTATTTAGAAGATCTGACTAATTGACTTTAGTGTAAGGGTTTGTTCTGATCAACTCTTCTTTTTTTCTGGAATCAAAGAGTATTAACATTTAATGTTTATTTGTGTATAAATGCAGGGCTTTGGTCTAGTGGAAGGTGTCCCTGCCTATGGCAGAGGGTTGGAATGAGATGGTCTTCAGGGTCCTTCTGTCCATTCTAGGATTCCATGTTTCAGGGCATTATGTACTAGCAAAGAAGTCAAGAAATATGTTTTTTGCTGAGTTTACATAGGAAATACGTAAATGCTTTATAACTGAGTTTTGAAGGATATTAACTAAGCAAATAATAGTGTAAACAACCTGCAGAGGTTTAAAATTAAACTCTTCTCAGGATTGTYATAGCACTAGACAATGCATGGGAGTCGGCACTATGAAGGGACAGAACCTGAAGACTCAGAAAGTTTCTTTTGCTTCTCTGCTGCTGTATTTAACCATGGGACATGCTGACAGTTGGGATAAGTTGGGGCAAATCATGTTRACTGTCTTCATTTCACAAGCTTGCACAAAGGTATATACTGTACATAAAGGGACATTCTGCAAGAWGGATTTGCAGATGTTTATTTTAAGAGTTCATATTAATAGTACAGGTATGTTGCAATCTGGGATTAATCTGTTGTGTTTGCAAAATTCAGTTTCACTTACTTTGAAAAGCTTTTCTATTATGCTGCTCTAGTTGCAGAGAATAATTAAAAAAAAAAAAAATCACCTGTTAAAGATTTTAATTCTGTTGCTGGGATGGTCTTGTTGGAAGGTTTCTGGCATTACAAGCAATTTACTGTAGTTCCTTTGGGTTGTGCAATGGGCCGGGGTGCACAGGAGTCTGTCTTGCACAGAGAGCCACATGTCATGATGTGAGGTGACAAAGGGTTAATGCCAAAACCAAACCAGGCCAGGTGATGGCTTTGTGGGCTCCTTGTGCTTTAGGCCAGCCCTGTGTGACCTTCTGATATGTCCAGTGCCACACAGGTATGAACCTCTTGGATACAGTCAGAATTATCTACTGTTGTCCACGTTCCATTTCTTCTAGCTGTGTTTTTCACTGGAAAGCATAGCAGTGTTTTTGTAATGTTGCTTTGATGCTCATAAAAAATAAACAGGATGTGGATKATCTATGATTTTGTTAAATATGCTTCAAARCAACACTGTAAYAGCAATCCCCCAACACATATTTCARTAAARTTAATCATATTGCAATGTGACCATGTCCCATATAGTGACCATATAGTTGCTTTGCTGTGTGGTCTTGCTTTGAGAATTTCAAGTTTTTCTGGATCTACTTTGCACAGACATGGAGAGCAGCATATGTAAGTGGACTGCTGTGTAGTTTGTGCAAGAATTGAGCAGCTTTACTGTGGGGAATTTCAATTCTCAGCTTATCTGCAGAAAACTTGGACTCAAGGGGTTATAAAAATGCTATTCTAAGTGTATAATCCTCTTAAACCAGAGCTGAAAGATGTTCTTCTGGAAAGCTTCATTGTATTTCTGTTTTCCTGCCTGCCTTACTGTGTTTAGCTCTCTCTTCAGGGGAATTAACAGCCATTTCATAAAAAGAATTCATGGTTACACACTGGCAGACTGCTGTAAGGATTTTTAAGCTCTCAACTTCTCATYGAAGCTGAACTGAGGAGGTTTAGAGTGGGTGGATGAACTGTAAAGTGGGTGAAAAACTTGGGAAGCTGCAAAGAAGTGCAGGACATAGTCATACAGGGGTTGAAGTCTAACTGGCAGGGAGCTGGATGATAGTGGGACCGAGAGTGTTTAACATCTTCAGGCTTAGACTCCAGAAGAGGATGTATCCTGTTTTACAGGGGGCAGAAACTGGAGAGTAGCTGAGCTGAGAGGAGCTTGCTGAGGTTCAGCAAGTGCAAAATCCTGAGTAGGATAAACTCTGTGACCTGTGTAGGATGGGCACTAAATGTTGGGAAAGCATGAGTGCAAGCTGGGAGTTGTGGTGGATAACCTCTGCCCTGCAGTGCTCAAGGCTGCCATAGACAGGTATCAAAAAGTATCTCACTCCTTGAATCCAGTTCTGAGCCCACACAGAGACCAGGGATATTCACAGCTAATGGGAGTAGAGCAGAAAACTGCTGGGAAGGCAGGGGCCAACTGCACAGGGGAAAGATGGAAGAATTGGGRCATCTTTGTCAGAAGAGAAAGCTCAGGAGGGATCTAATTGCAGTTTCATGCYTCATAAAAGGTCTTAGTAAGCAGGGAGCCAAACTCTGAGGCACACAGYGACAGGAATGACATTATGAGAAATGGCCATAATTTGCAGCAGTTATTTCAGCTCAGCACAAGGGAAAGCCWTTCTGTCCAGGGTGATCCTGGCATCTCTGTCCTTGGAGGCCTTCAGGAGCAGCATGCTCTGACTTTGAAGCTGCCCCTGCCTGAGCAGGAGCTTGGTCCATGTGCCCCTTGGAGCCCTTCCTATCTYAGTTTTCCCTTGAATCTCTAATTCTGCCTGTGTGGAATCTTGCAGTACATAGGAGCTGGCAGCACTTGAGCATTTGAAGCCCATCTTTGCCTGGCATCTTGTAGTTGGAGCTGCTGCCAGAGGACGAAGAAGGGAGTTTGGGTGCTCACTGTTGTGGAATTTGCCCTTTTCACAGATATGATCCTTGTCTGAACCCTTTTCTTCCCAACAGAAGGAGGGATCCTGCTTTCAGGCTGTCTCAAGGAGCCCTCTCACCTCTCTGCCTCCCTCCTCTGTGGGGCAGGAGCTGCTGGATTCTGCCCTGATCTTCTTGCCTTGTCTTTGGAACAKCTCCCTCGTGCTGAGGATCCTGAGCTCTTACACCTCTCACTGTGAGGCATTTACACTCTGCCCAAACAGTTCAGGGGCTCTGCTCCACATCCTCTTCAGTTTTTTTTCCCAGCTGAATCTCTCAGGACTAGATGCAGTATTACAGTATTGATCTCAGTGACAATCCAGGGTTGACCTTCCTGAGCAGCTTCCTTTTCCCTATCCTTGTGCATGCCAGAGCTCACGTTAGCCTTTCTGCTGCAGCCTGGTTCTGACAATAGAGTCACATTTCTGGCACTAAGGTGGTTTGTTAGTTCCTGCCTTTCTCTCTGTAGCAGTGTTTATTCCCAGTCCCACACCACTGTCTGTGCTCCTGAGTGGTGCCGATACAGCTGCTTTGGGGCGGAGCTG